AAGAAAAATCAACCAGAGTGGTGGGAAGAATCAAAATTAGCTAGAAATCCATAATATATCCATGAAGGAAGATATATAAAAAATGGAAGTCGGGATCCATTAGACCATCAGCTGTATTCCAAGGTCGCATTATTACCTAACATTAATTTGTATTAAATATAATTAATTAGTCTCTTTGACTACTTCAATTCGAAAACAATTGCAGGGTGACAAAAATAATACGGAGTAATCGTTTATAGGAGACGAAGACGGGAAGAAGAAAAAAAGTGAAGTGGAAAGTGGCCAAATAAGCGTAGACATTCATGGCATTGATTAAATAAGATTACACTATATACAGACTACTCTTTTCTTTAATTAGTTGTCTATTTTGATTTCGATTTTTCGATGGCCAAATAGGGCTAGTATCCTCATGGTTGGCAAAACAGGAACCAATACCTCCTTTATTTTTAAAACTCATTTCTAAAGTTCCTGTTGTTTTAAAAAGCTGCACCCATGCCCCCTCTGATCAATTTCCGACCATTTTTCCAGCGAAGAAGGGGGGCATTGGTGCATATTTTTTAAACCATATGGGGTATCAGTGCTGATTTTTATTTCTCGCAATTTTTTTTCCATTTTTTCCTTTTTTTGTTTCATTTATTAATAAAGGTTTTTTAAAATTATTTTTATAATGTTCTTAAAATTTAAAGTTATTTTTGTTTGAAAAAATTAACATATAATGCATATGTACGTCTCAAATTAACAAATTTTGTTTTTTCTGAATAAAAAGTAATTTTTTTAGAACTTCAAAAAAATGAGGAATAAAATAAGAAACAAAATAATACAAAAATAAAAATGAATATCCCTTTTGGACACCTCAATTCTAAGAACTTTTTTTAATTTAGGCGTGTCCAATTTTTTTTTGTATAAGACTTTTTTTGCGTACTTTAATTTTTTCATTTCGATTTTCCATATCTTATTTTTTTACTCTGGGTTTTTTCAACTTTCCAAAAAATTATTCTAAGTAACAAAAAGTGAAAATGTTTAATTTAAGATAGATGTAATGTATGTTAATTTTTTTATTTCTATTTTTATTTCAAACACAAAGAATTTTAAAATTTTTGAAACATAATAAAAAATTGAAAATATATCTTTAAAAATCTAGGAAAAGGAAAAAAGAGATAGAAAGTATTAAAAAAAGGAAAGAATAATAAACGAAAATAAGAAATGAGCACGAATGCCCCATATGGTTTAGAAATTATGCGTCAATGCCCCCTCCTTGCCGGAAAATGGCCGGAAAATGATCAGAGGGGGTGTTGGTGCAACATTTTGAAACCACGAGGGCTTTAGAAATAAGTTTTGAAAACAGAGGGGGTATTGGTACGGTGCTAATTTTCCAAACCACATGGGGCATAAGAGCTATTTGGCCATTTTTCGATGTTGTTTTTGGTTTTCCGACCAAAATGGCCGCGAAGGCGGGCATTGTAGTGGGATAGCCAATGACATTTTTTTCATGTACACCAGAGACTAGCTAGCAGGGGTGAGCATGGTACGCTATTTAGCTCGTATCGGTATCGTACCAAAGATATTTTGGTTCATATTACAATTTTACGTCGTACCGATTACGATCCTGAAATTTTGGTTTAGTATGGTTTGATATCGATTTCAGGATAAATCAGGATGAAAATATGCACACCCAATTTAAACTTTAAAATGTCACAAAAATATTTCTTTGTAAATCGAAAGTGTATATATATATATATATATATATATATATATATATATATAAACAAAAGATATAAAAAACAAAATTGAAAAATTAAATGCAATAAATGCTTATTAAACTTAAATTAGTCTATACTCTAGAACGGAAATACTCTAGAACGAAAATATTAAACTTAAATTAGTCTATACTCTAGAACGGAAATACTCTAGAACGAAAATACTTCCTTTGTTCCACAAAATTTTTCTGGTTTTGAGTTTTAAATGATTTAAAAGACGTGTATTCTGGTGTTGGCTTTCTAAAAATATTCTTGGATATGATAAATAAAAGTAGATATTATGGGTAGATTAATAGTGAAAAAGTGTAATGTGATAGAAATTTAAAATTAATAAGGATAAAAATGACTTTTTAATAGAATTAAGAAAGATTTTTTGAAATAAATAAAAAAAGAATTTTTTTTTGAGACGGAAGGAGTAGTATTAAATATGAACACCATGGACGTTCTAGAAGGAAAAAAGAGAATAGATGAATAATAATTAAATCCGGGGCGAATGAATATACTCCTCCGTACGTAGTTTATAGAGGCAATAATAACTCGTGTTAAATTCATAGAAATCTACTTTGACAAAAAATTATTCTCCCCAACTTGAGACTTGTTTTTTCCTGAAAAATTAACACGAGACCAGCTGGTTGAATCTTATATTAATTAGCTTCTTCAACAGCTAGCAGCTTATTAGCTTGCTAATTAAATTTTCTCTCTTTAAATTGTTTCGTTTATTACTTTTGACGAATTTAATTGAATTGTTAATAAGTTTTATATAAATAGTCATATATGTGTGCTGTTATTTCTTGACATATATAGAAATACATTAGCTGTCGTTGGGGAGCCTGCAAAGACCAAGAACAAGCAAGCTAAGCCCACACTTCAGGGGCATATATATTTCTTGACATATGTTGGCCATGTGTGCATCAATTGTCCCGTGGCGGAGACTATGTGTGCCAAGTCACAATCGAATGTCGTGGGCTCTTGCGTGTTCAATGCACTATAAGGCTAGGGTATGCGCCTCTTCTAACACCAATTGGTTTTAGAAGAGTTGGTAACGCCTGAGGTCCTACAAGTGGTATCAGAGCCAAGGTCACGAGTTCGATTCCCAGCGGGAGCAATTGCTGAGGGGGAGATTGTTAGCCATGTGTGCATCAATTGTCTCGTGGCGGAGGCTATGTGTGCCAAGTCACAATCGAATGTCGTGGGCTCTTGCGTGTTCAATGCACTATAAGGCTAGGGTATGCGCCTCTTCTAACACCAATTGGTTTTAGAAGAGTTGGTAGCGCCTGAAATCCTACAACATATACCTCATTAATTTCAAGTCTAGAGACTAGAGATGAGTAAAATTAAAATTTTAAAGGACCGGATTAGTCGGACTGGGTCAATCTCTTGAAAAGACAGATACTCCTTCCATCTCGCAAAAAACTTTCTATTTTGACTTTTAAAGAATTTAAGGGGAGTAAAGTGTGATGTGATAGGTATGTTAAGAATTAATAGGGGTAAAAGTGACTTTTTAATTGAAAAGAGAAGAGTTTTTTTGGGACAGATAAAAAATGAAAGGAGAAGGTTTTGTGGGATGAAGAGAGTACTATTTAGGTTGAGATCAGTTCCGTCTTTTTTTCAAAATAGGTCCACAGTACACTAGTCTACTCTTTATACCGAGTATAAAAAAAATTGCATCATTTATCCTTAAATTTTTCAAGAATATAATTGCACGGAATCCCTTTGAACTTCTAAAAGTGCACCAATACTAAGATTAATAATAAACATCCTCCTTTTCCTAAACCTCTTGATATGCACATATTTTATACACTTTTTAATCATATTTTGAAGGAGTTTTGAGTCTCAATTGAATTTAATGTTTATATTTTATTTCAATTTTCCGTTTTATTTGTGTAGAGCGGTCCTATGCTTGGTTTTATATGTTTTGTAGGTATTTTGAGGCCATTTGGACGCATTGAGAACAATTTCAAGAACGGAAAATAAACATGGAAGTTTGGGACCAAAATAAATTGAAGAGAATTGAAGAAAAGAAGGAAACAAATAAAGAATAAGAAAAAAAAGGAGCAAGGATTCGAACTCAAGACTTGGGGGTAGGGATTTGAAACTCTGACCATTGCACCACAACTAACTGTTCAGCTTTTCAGTGACAGAGCGCGAATAATATCTGTTCTAATATTCGGCTCATGAATTGGGAGAAAATGACAAAATAGGAGACGGTGGGAAGATTCGAACCCAGCACCACGCCGCGAACATCCAGCTCATTTCCATGTGAGCTACAGGAGATGTTTTGACCCATTATGCTACTGTTTGTATATACTCCGTATATACGATTTTATCTATAAAATCACATCTCCTCTCTTCTCTTAGGAGGTTGGAACCCCCCATTTCTCTCCTCCCTCCAATCCGAAATTCTCCTCCTCCATCACTAATATCTCACCACTTTCTTCATCCAAACACATAAAAATTACTCCATCTTCATCATCATTTATCATATTTGGAGCTCAAGAACACATCTTCCATTTTGTAAGATTTTTATTATTGTAATAAATATTTATTTGTTTAAGCTTCAAACTATGAACTTCTAAATTCCATTGGGGTTAGAAGTTGGTGTAATTAATTGTCCATCTTAATGTTTTGAATATTTTTAACATGGATTGTTGATTTTATTTTTACTTAGATGTTGTATTTAAAAATAAATAAATTTGAAATGTTTGTGATTTTTAATTAAGGGCCCAATCATAAACATAATTGTTAAAAGGAATATGAGCTAAAATTGATATAATCATAAAATAGAACACTTTTTAAATACACCGTAAGCCTTCTCTACCTTTAACC